GTCGGGCGTCTCTCGTCCAACCACCGTCGGATTGGCTGCAGCCGTGCGGCGCGTTGATCTGGGCAGACAAGGTCGGTACATCGCGGGGTCTTGGATCCCTATGGCCCTGCCGTCGTCTGATGCTTTGATTCTGGTGGTCAGATGGGGCAGCCCCTGTTGGGGATTAAAGTCGTGTCGTGTACCTGCGCGAGTCCCGATTCGGACGGCCTGCTCTTCTGCCAACCCCAGCTCCCTGTCGAATGAGCAGAAATCTGGACAGAGACGCCAGAGAAGAGACGGGAGCTACAAGACAGGCTGTTGCTCAACCTTTCAAGCTGGCCTGCTGATGAAGAGCAAAGCAAAGGAAGCTCAGTCTTAGACTTGAGACCGGCTTGAGTGACACGGCGTGGTGGCTTGAGCTTTTGAGCGAAGCCCACCGCCACCCACGAGCCCTGAACAAGACAACTGAGAACCTGGTCAGATACGAGAAATGGCGCCTCCGCTGTTCATCACTAAAAGGAGAACGGCGTCAGGCACTGCACTGCACTATCAGCGCTAATACGCAAGGGGTTGGGTGGCCAGTTGAACCAACCAGGTGCTCAATGCAACCGGCCCTTCTCGGACTTGTCCCTTAGGACCAGTCCTCGACAATCTTGCCAAACCGGGCGATGGACCGTTCATCATAATCAGCAAACCGATCATCTCTCTACTTCTCGCGTAGGGACCTCCATGTGTAAATCACCCAAAGGTGGCACGGATGTGATGACCTGTGAACAGACCATGTCTTGCAGTCGATAGAGGCAGGCGCAAGCAAGCCTCAGAAGTTCTTGCCATCGTACCTTTGCACCTTGGCTGGATCAATTATGAATATGAATATGCTCCCAGTGGTCGCGGACCAGTCCTTTGCATCAGATTGCCCTTCGCTCAAGGAGCATTGGGTTTCTTGGTGTAACAATTTCTCTCCCTGTTGAGCCGCGTCGATGCCATGCCATCAATATCTTCCAGTCGGGATGAAGCAACTCTCATCTCTCGCTGCCGTGCGAGCCGTGCTAAGGCCTACGAAGGTTTTTGGCCCTGGCGCTATCAACAGGCTCCCACGCTTGCCCGCGAAGCGCATGGCTGACTGTAGAGAGTCGCATTTTACTGCCCCTGATTTACTCCTGTACTCGTGGCCAACATTCCAGCAATGCCAGCCTGGGTGAGACATCAGCAGCGGCGCGCTAATACTGTAGCTCCAACCCTGTTTCCCCGTGGTGCCGCGAGCCCATCATCACAGAAAATGCAAGAGCTGTCATGCCCTCTATTAAGGGCCTGCTCAAGCAGCAATCCGTTTGCCCATTCACTTAACCATGGAAAACAGGACTTCTCCACCGCTGGCTGGCCACAACCCGCATTCCACCATTCGCAGATCCCGATCTCCTTGGACTGTGTCTCCCTCTATCCCCATGACCACTAATAAGATAGCATCCGCCGGCCGTGCGGCCTGGGCGGGTCTCTGGGAGATTGAGATGATGGCCGTTAGCTCTCGAACCGTCAGTGGCGTGGAAACAACCCTGGCTACAGGCAGCCCAGCAATAATACCAGAGTTTCAGCCTCACGTCCGTCACATCTGCCAAATTATGACTTCAGCCAAGGAACACCTTCGTTGGGCGGAATGCGCCAATCAGACTGGCTTGGAACTTGATATTCCCAAATGAGCTCTGCCTTCGTGCGCAGAGCCTCTCTACTGCTTCGTCTAGCCTCTATGATTGTCCAAACTCGTTATTTCTCAAGGCAATCGAATCCGACCTTCTGGATCCGGCCAAAGGAACCTCAGTACTGAGCTCGGTAAAATGGGGTACCAAGCTGGGGCGACGACGAGCACTGATCTGTTGCGCCAGCGGTGAGCGTCGTTCGCAATCTGCGTTGAAGAGCACGAGTTTCAGCCACCAATAGTCCCGCTGCTCGCTTTGCCTCGATTTTGGTTGTACCACTGCCAAGCGGTCTCTAACACGCGGTGGCTGGTCGAAGCGTGATCTCCATTGTTGTGAAGTTCATTCAAAAGCTTCTGATGTGTCGTTTTAAAGTAGTCCAGATCCTCAGTCTGGAGATCCAATGTCGCAGCTGTAGTGCGCAGGTACCACCACACCGACTCATTCGTCCACCGATAGCTCTCAGCTGTATCGAGCAGGTTTCGAAAGATATTGAGTCTCGCAACGTTGTCGCCTCTCATTTCTTGGATGTGAGCGAGCATTGACCAGCCAGATATGTCATTGTGATGAGCGAGGCTCCAAATTTCGATACCGTTCTCCAGGGATAGCATATCTTCCTTGCTCAAAACATGTCTGGATATCTTGAGGAGCCACCGCGCGTGACACCATGCATAATAGTTCCGGGGATGCCTCTCGCCCGCGGTCTTGACTATGTTGAAGCCGGCTCGGGTATCGACCGTATGACCGAAGTTCCGATGTTGCTCGACCAACCATCGGCGATGACTCCATAGCGTTGGTGATTTGGTATGGCGATGGAGACGGCTCGTCAAAAGACTGTCGACGAACCAGCCTTCGTGACAGAGTAATATCCGACAGTCTCGGTGTTGGAGACCGGAGATTTTACTGTTCTCCCACCTTTTGAAACGAGACAACAGGATGCGTTTCCTTGTATTTGCAGCAGTGAGGTTCTCTGCATCCATCAGAAGCATCACCGCCGTGGCTGAAAGGATGTCATCTTCCACTCGTTCGGTTGTCTTTGTGTGGGCTCTGGCGATTTGATGAGCTACAAGAAAGGCTTGTACAAGACGTAATTTTGGTATCCCGATGGCGTTCTTGTCTCGAAGCAGATTTTGACCAGGCGGCGTAGGGTGACTTCGTCCTAGAATCTCGATTTCGAGCAAGTCCGCCGGGTCATGAGTAGGGTCACCTGGTGGAGCAAGAGCTCGTGAGATGTCCTCGTACACCGCCGTGTGGTCGCCGGACCTCAAAAATGCAACAACCTCCTTTTCCAAAGCGCGAGACATTTCAGAAAAGGCATATCGGATCTTGACGCATGCATACCACGATGTGATGGCCCATTGTCGGAATGATATGTATACTGCTGTGAGTATGGTGGGGGTGCATTCTGGCCAAGGTCCTATCGGCTACCCACTCCAGCTACAGGGTATCTGACCGCCCGGCAGAAGTGGCGCATGCAATTCGCGGGGCGATGACATAGCACACGATTTTCAGCATTGTGGCATCTGACTGACAGCTCCTGACCCAACCCACAGAACCCAACTGTTACGACATGCACGAATAGCCCGACATCACGACGCTCCGCCAAACCGAGCTTAGACTGCCCGTTATGCCTTCTCTAATGCTCATAATATTCGCCGTTGAGCTGTCGGTTCGTGTCATCGACAGCATTGGCGCAGCGACGATCAACAACCTGGTAGGTTACCATCACCAACCTTAAAAGTTGCTGCATCAGCCTAACTCGCACCACAGCTATGGACTCTTCTTAGCTACCTGCCCCTCGAAAGCTCCAGAGCGGCGACGAAGCATAGACAACTGCAGACCGACTATATGAAGATTCGCAAAGAAATGAACGGCACCAGCAGTCAGGATCAGTTTGCGAAGTGGGCAAAGCTCAGGCGAAACCATGATAAGATGCTCGAGCAACTGGAAGGCAGCAGTACGTCAGGAACAAATGGAAGACTGAGAAATAATCGAAGCACGTGTGCTGACTCGTTTAATTACAGAAAAGGCACAGGAGGCCTCGCGATCCAAGTTTGACAGTTATCTTACTGGCATTCGCATGCTTGTCACGCGAGTACCCCAATACGCCTTACCATTCTGGTATGGCAAGCAGCCTATGTTCTGGCTGCCATACGGCTGGTTCCCGTACTACGCTGAGTGGCTTCTGTCCTTCCCCAAGGCCCCGATCGGCAGCGTGAGCATCGTCTCGTGGCAGCTGGCATGCACAGGCATGCTTGCCTTGACCAGCGAGATGATTACATCCCTCGTAGGGCTCGTCTTTACGAAAAGCCAGGCCAAGGCACAGCCTGCCCGGGTTCCTGTCCCAGCGACTGCTGGTGATGACGGCTCTGGTGAAAAGAAGGAGCTGTGAAAGGTCGCCTCACGAATAATACAACATGTCTTCCAAGTCATGCGTTCGTTTAATGTCGTCGTGATACATCGCTCATGTTCTCGGGGCAACCGTTCACGTGAAACCTTTCCTGTCACATAAAACTAGCTGCGGAATAGGGAGGTCACGATGTGTAGATGACCCATTAAGGATGACTACGTGCCCTGTGGGCAAGCTACTGATTCTCGTACCGAGATTTCTATATTTGGAATGTGACTCGTGGATTTGACGCAAAGTTCTTCATGGCCGTAGCTGGAGCTTTGTAACACGTCGGAGATCACCCTTGGCAGGGCGTATGGTTTTACTCTTGGCGTCATATTGACCTCAGTTGCTCATGTAGCCTTGAAAGGCGAGCATTGAGGCTTCGAAAGCGCCGTCGTGTCACTGAAATTTGCGAGCCCATTGGAGAAGCAACTAAAGATGTCCGAATCAGGCTGCCACTTGGTATACCTAATCTCGTGGACAGTTGCTCAGGGAGGAAGACAGCGCCGGAAATGCTCATGAAAGAGCTGTGATGATGTGCTACACAAGTGCCGGGAGAGCAGTCAGCTGCCAGATCGGCAGAATAATGCTATCCTCAAGCTTCCCAATGGTGTGTTCGGGTCCGTGTGTCGTGAGAGGAGAAATGGTTCGCAGTTGTTATTGAAGTCAGAAAAGGATTTCGAGCGAGCTTTCCTTCAGAGCAAAAAATACTCGGATCTGAGTGGGTCCTTCATTCGCTGAGGAGGCTGCGCCCTGGTCTGCGACCAGGCTCGGTCGGAACATCTGTCCCTCCGAGAGATGGACCCGCTTTTATCCCTGGAGGCAACGACATTCCGAGAGTAACTTGGAAGCTTGCCTGGGATCTTGACGTCGACACGCCTCAGCAATCTTCCCACCACATACCCCCTCTCAGTTCTGGAGCTTTCGCAACCATCAAAATGGCTCCAGCGCAGGATACCATGTTCCGCTCGGCGGACATGAGTATGGTGCAGCTGTACATATCCAACGAAATCGGCAGAGACGTCGTGACAGCTCTCGGAGAGCTTGGCCTCCTCCAATTCCGCGATGTACGCGCTTCCCCCCTCCCTCAAAACCTGTTCATAGTCCACCGGCTAACAAAGCTTTATCGCAGCTTAACGGCGAAGTCAATGCTTTCCAGCGAACCTTCACGCAGGAGATTCGACGACTAGATAACGTCGAGCGCCAATTGCGTACGTTATCGTCCGCCTACTGTTCATGTGCATTTTGGGAGCTAACCGCGCTCCAGGATACTTCTACGCGCAAATGGAAAAGGCAGGCATTCCACTGCGGAAACTCGATCTCGATAATGAAAGGCTGGCGAATCCTTCGACATCCGAGATTGATGAACTTGCCGAGCGGAGCCAAAGCCTTGAACAACGCGTTTTTCAGTTGAACGACAGCTACGAGACGCTGAAGAAGCGTGAGGTCGAGCTGACAGAATGGCGCTGGGTACTTCGCGAAGCTGGGGGCTTCTTCGATCGCGCTCACGGTAATGTAGACGAGATTCGCGCGTCGACAGAGGAAGATGATGCACCTCTCCTTCAGGACGTCGAGCACCACAACTCCGCCCCCGAGGTCGAACGGTCTTTCTCAGGCATGAACATTGGCTTTGTGGCCGGTGTTATTGCTCGCGATAGGGTCGCCTCTTTTGAGCGCATCCTGTGGCGCACCCTTCGCGGAAATCTGTACATGAACCAGTCGGAGATCGAGGAACCCCTAGTGGATCCTTCGACCAACGAAACTGTGCACAAGAACGTCTTCGTCATTTTTGCCCATGGCAAGGAGATTCTTGCCAAAATCCGCAAGATTTCCGAGTCTTTGGGTGCGGAGACTTACAATGTCGACGAGAACAGCGATCTTCGCCGTGACCAGATGCACGAGGTCAACGCTCGCCTCAATGATGTTCAGAACGTCCTCCGCAACACACAGCAGACCCTCAGCGCGGAACTCACTCAAATATCGCAATCGCTGTCAGCCTGGATGGTGCTTGTTACAAAAGAGAAAGCTGTTTACAACACACTGAACAACTTCTCATATGACAAGGCCCGCCGCACTTTGATTGCTGAGGGTTGGGCTCCCACCAACGAGGTTAGTCGCATCCGTGCGACGTTGCAGGAGGTAACAAACCGGGCTGGTCTCTCCGTTCCTTCGATCATCAACGAAATCAGGACCAACAAGACTCCTCCCACCTACCTCAAGACCAACAAATTCACCGAGGCATTCCAAACTATTGTCAATGCTTACGGTACTGCTACCTACCAGGAAGTCAACCCAGCACTTCCGGTTGTGGTCACCTTCCCTTTCTTGTTCGCCGTCATGTTCGGTGATCTGGGCCACGCCATTATCATGCTTTCAGCTGCCCTGGCCATGATCTATTGGGAGAAGCCCCTGAAAAAGGTTTCGTTCGAACTTTTCGCGATGCTCTACTACGGACGCTACATTGCTCTGATCATGGCGCTCTTCTCGCTTTTCACCGGTCTTGTTTACAACGATATCTTCTCGAAGTCCCTTACGCTGTTTGACAGCGCCTGGCACTGGCGGGTGCCCGACAAGTACGTGGACGGACAGACACTTACCGCCGCACTCAACGATTCCGGTTACCGTTACCCGTTCGGCTTGGACTGGATGTGGCACGGTACAGAGAATGACCTCCTCTTCTCGAACAGTTACAAGATGAAGATGAGCATCATTCTTGGCTGGGCACACATGACCTACTCACTGATCTTTTCCTACGTAAACGCCAGGCACTTCAGAAAGCCTGTTGATATCTGGGGCAACTTTGTTCCTGGCATGATCTTCTTCCAGTCCATTTTCGGCTACCTCGTCCTTTGTATCATCTACAAGTGGTCGGTCGACTGGAACGATCCTTCAAACCCTAGGCAGCCGCCTGGTCTTCTCAACATGTTGATCTACATGTTCCTTTCACCTGGTACCCTGGATGTTCAGCTCTACCCTGGGCAGGCGACTGTGCAGGTCATTCTGTTGCTGCTTGCATTCGTACAAGTTCCCGTTTTGCTATTCCTAAAGCCCTTCTGGCTGCGCAGGGAGCACAACAGAGCTCGTGGTCTCGGCTACAGGGCTGTCGGCGAGACTTCCAGAGTCAGCGCTCTCGATGGCGACGATGAAGACGACAGCAATGGCCACGTAGCGAACGGGCGTCCTAGTACCGACTCTGTTGGCGAGGGCGTGGCAATGATCACACAGGACCTCCACGGCGATGGCGAGCATGAGGAGTTTGAGTTCAGCGAAGTCATGATTCATCAGATTATCCATACTATCGGTAAGCTGCCTTTCCTATGCGATATAGCCCCCTTGTTAACAATCACGCAGAGTTCTGTCTCAACTGTGTGTCCCACACGGCTTCCTACCTCCGTCTCTGGGCTCTGTCGCTGGCTCATCAGCAGCTCAGTGTTGTGCTGTGGTCGATGACTCTTGGCGGTATTCTCGCCTCCCCCAGCGCTACTGGTATTACTGGCGGTATTATGATCGTCGTTGCATTCTACCTGTGGTTTGTCCTTAGTATGTATTGCACCTCTGTGTTTTTTTAGATTTACGCTAACTCGAGTGTCAGCCATCGCCATCCTGGTCATGATGGAAGGTACCAGTGCTATGTTGCACTCTCTGCGTCTAGCATGGGTCGAGTCATTCTCCAAATTCGCAGAGTTCGCCGGCTGGCCCTTCCAGCCATTTTCCTTTGCCACTACTTTGGAAGAGTCGGAAGAGTTGTCAGAGTACCTCGGTTAAGGAATTACATGCTTCGTTGTGAACGAAGTTCTGGTGTCGGAAGAGTTGTAAACATACGTAGTGTTGTAACCCTATCACCATTGTACCAATTACCATGAATTAGAGACGTTCATCAGTTGCCTCAATCGCCGGTCTCTCCACGCGCAGCGGTCGTAAAAATAAAATGATGCGAAATACGGACACCCACTCGATTTCTGGAAGTGGGAATACTTTTGGTGGACAGCTTGTAGTATACGTCATTAACCTGGCCCTTTCCTTCGATGTTAACATCAACCCCACAACGGCGCCGTAACCTCGGCGGCACGTTCACATACGCGGCGCACACGATCCGCAAACGCCTTGTGAACACAATCAACCTCTAAATCTTCCAACCATACGGTAGCCTCCATCTTATCAACCTTGATATGGATTCCTGGAACAGGGATACCCAGTTTGTGCAGACGATCAAGTTCTGCGCGGCGACGTTCATCAAGATCTTTGTCCCCGCCATCATTGGACGTGTCCATGGCAGAAGGATCAGCGTCCTCGCCCTCGTCCTCGCCCTTAGCATCATCCTTTGAAGTAACAGGCAACTTCGGATCCGCAACAGGATTAACATTATCAGCGCCGAATTGGTTCTCCACAATCATGAGGAAGCGCTCGAGTCGTTCCTCAGGAGAAAGATTAGCGTGTGGGTTATGGCCTGTGGGTCCGTGGTCATGCTGGTGTGTGTTGCCGGAACCTGAGATGGTCAGTCAAGGTGTCATCGAAGTTAGATAACCTAATACATACGCTTTACGGCAGCGGGGCTGCTCTCCACCGAGTAGAGACAGGTCAATACAGCGTCTGCAATGCTGTCGTTCAGAAGGTTGCCTTCCCACTCGAGCTCAACTTCGCCGTCGCTACGGTAGCGGAATGTTACGCAGCCCATCAAAAGGTATGCGGCTACTAAGCTCGCCACTTCTTCATCGGCCTCCTCTTGTTTGGGGACTTCGTTTGTGTTTTCATCTGCTTCTTCATCATCGCCATCATGCGTCTCGCTGAGCTTCTTCTTGTGCATCTCGGGAAGTTCCTCAACGGTGCCGAACACACCCTCAAGGCCCCACCGAATAAGGTCAATGCCGGCGGCGCTGAGCTTGAGGCGTTGCTTGCAAGTGATGGTCGTGGTATTGAGACCAGCGTATTCACGCAAGTCCTCGGGTGCCATCAGAGACAGCTTGAAGTCGTTCTGGACAAGGACGCCTGTGATTAGGGGGGCGTTCTGGCCATCCTCTAATGTGCTCTTCGTAGGCGGTTGAATTGTGGCTAGCTTGCCGACGACCTTGGCTGTCTTGTCCTGCTTGAATGGAATGCGGAGTTCCTCGCAATTTTTGGGACTGAAGATCTTGGCCTTGATGGATTTGTTTGCGTTCAGAGACAAAAGCTTGGACTTGAGGCGCATCATGTTGTGCTGTTCGCCGTGGACAAGGATCTGAACTGGTCAGCTTCTGAAATTGCACCGATATACCAAGTAATGGATGACAGGGACCTACTACAACTGGAGCAGCAACCTCCTCAATGAACTCGCGGTTTTCCGTCCCGTCGACGTGTGCGGCAAATGAGTATTCCTGCACACTGCACCTCCTGGGAATCAAAAACTTCTCTCCGTCTCCACCGGGACCGCGACGAGCATTGGCCATGGTCCTGCTCATCACGGCTTGGATCTGATCTGGCTCCTGCATGATCTGCTTGGCCATGGTACCCTCAACACTGTAACCGGTGATAATGACGCCGTTCTTGTCATTTGGCGCCCACCTTTCCAGCAGCTCTCGGCTGACTCCATTCTGCAGCATACCCGGGCTGGCCAGCATCACGCAACCACCCAGATCATCGAATCGATCAAGATTTTTCAGCGATCGAATATAGTTGAAATCCCACGGACCACCCTTGCCACTGCCGTCACCTGATGCTTCTGCTTGTGCCATTCCTTCGCGGAAGAGTCTTTTGATATTGTCATTCATGGCTCCCACGTACGTCTGATAAACGACCATGCACTTTCGGGCAAGGTTACTGGCGTAGTAGATGGGGTACTTCTGGAAGTCGGGGTGCTTGCCCCAGTACTCGTCGAGAATGAGCAGTAATTCTTGAGCTCGGCCGAGGGCGAACACAGGCATCAGAACGCGGCCGCCACGGTTGAGGATGCTTGTAATTGATTTCATGAGAGCTTGCTCTCTTTCCACTCTCGGCACGTGTGACGCGATACCGTACGTCGACTCGGTGATGAGAACATCGATTTTAACACCCTTTGGAACCTCCGCTGACACAAGATGTCGATCCTGTTCTCGAGAGTAGTCACCCGTGAAGAATATTTTGAGGCCCGCGATCTCGATAAGAAACATAGCCGCACCGAGGACATGCCCTGCGGGGTAGGGAGTGATGCGAATGGAGGAGATGGTGTGGGTGGTGTGGTAGTCGATGGCTTCGATTTGAGGGAACGTGTTCATATGATCTGCTTCGGTGTAGACAGGTTGCGTCGAAGGGTTGGATGAAGTGTTTCCGACCCGAACGCTGTCCTGGATGAGCCACTTGTAAATGGCCTTTGTGGGATGGGTCATGAAGACCCTGCCCCTAAAGTTGGTCTTGGCCAGGACATAGGGAAGCGAGGCGGCATGATCGACGTGGAAACTGGTGGGCTGGTCAGTGTCTGTACTTGGCGCAACAGTCTACATCATGTGCTCGAAGCGCGGGGGTTGGCTTGGATGGTCACGACAGAGACAAGGCGGGCAAGACAAGGGGGCGAGGATGGGAATGAAGTTTGTATTGAGTCTGAGAACTGCGTTGAGGTAGCGCAAGATGGCGGAGAGGCGGCGACAGTGACAGATGCACAACGGCAAGCCAGATAAGGCCGCCACTATCCTAGCTCTACTCGTCGCATACCACCTTGTCTGTGTAACGCCATGCCAGCACGGAGGAAGGGGAAATGTAGCTTACTGGCTGATGAGGAGCACATCGACTGTGCTCAGGTCGAAATCGTCGAAAAAGGGCAGCGCGGCAAGACCGTCGTACGCAGGATGTTGACCGGCATCGAGCTGTAGAGGGGGTTAGCGACTGTCACTTTCAGAAGGTGCTTGCTTCCCATACCATGACCGTCTTTCCCTTGTACTGGATAATGTGACAGGATCGGCCGACCTCGTTTCCACCTCCGAGGCAGAGGAACATCAGTTCATCCGCTGGATCAACAGGCTCTTCCGTGACGGTGGCTGCCATGGCGGCGGCCTTGCGTTTCGCCGCCATTGTCGCGAATAGATTGAGTAAGTCGTAGAGTATCTGGTAATCGTCGCGTCTCGTCGTTTCGTCTTCGGCGCGGGGGAACGGTAGGCACTGTCAGGTTAGCACATTGGCGATGTAAACCCGCCCTGAAGACGTTTCCGTCTGCGCGATCGCGTTGCAGCTCAGTAGCTTGAACAATCGCAGTAATGCTCGCAAGGTAGGGAGGTTGACTCTTACAGGTCGGTGGACAATCATTTGGGGGATGCATTGATGGCCCAGCCAGCAGGAAGGAGCACGGGCCATCGCAGCAATCAGGCTGCCAGTCACGTGATGATTAAGCTTCGCGACGTTGGAAATCAGTCTCTGGTGATGCTCCTTCTTTCATACCCTCGGCGCGCCAGAACAGATCGATTACCTACCTTGCAGCCCGCCACCAACTCAACGGCTATCTTGCCATCGCTACCGTCAACTTGTCGACGAGACACCCAGGTCCTACTTCCGACGCGACCATCAAGGCCCTGCTATTTGACGCGAATCAAGCGCAGCGCATGACTGAGGTCGCGACAATCCGCATAGGCTCGACGGCCTATTGAAGCGCTCTGCGACTTCAGCCCATCCTTCCTCCTTGCATCAACACGACGACCAGACTCGAAAGCCGACAGGATGGCGCAGCCTCAGCCTCAGCAGCCTCTACCTCAGAGGCAGTACTCTCCAGCTCAGGCATCGCCGTCGCCTGTTCCCCCCCAATCCGCCTATCAGTCTCCTGTCAACGCCTTGCCCCCCAACAAGCGGCCTCGTCTTTCTCCCGGTCCTCCGTCTCAGCCGGCATCACCAACTCCATACATACAGTCATATGCCAGTCCTGGCGCTCCCTCTACCCCCGGCGTCACGACACCGGCAGCTACGCCAGTCTACCCGGCTACTCAGCAAACTCCTCAGATACCCGCTCAGAGCAGCTACACAACCCCATACCCGAACGGCAACAGCAGCAGCAACGGCAGTACTACTCCGACGATCGCCCTGCCTGAATCGCGACCGACACCTCCACCCACCGGACCACCCGTGCCATACACTAATATCACATTCACGCCACCTATGTCTGCTGCCGCGACGCCGCCCCTGAACCACCAGTATCCCCAACAAACGCCGCCACCTCAGCAGCAGCAGCAGCAGCAACCACAGCAAATGCAGCCGCAGTTGCAGCAGCAGCAACCACATCCGCAGCAGCAGCAGCAGCAGCAGCATCAACATCAACAGCATCAACAGCATCTTTATTCACAGCAACCGCCGCAGTATGCGCAGCAGCACCCGCACCAGCACCAGCAGTACCATGCGCAACAGCACCAGCAGCGCATGCAACAGGTCCCGCAGCAGCATCAGCAACACTTGCAGCACCAACAGCCACCTCAAGGTGCCATGGGTCCCCCGTCGAGGCCTGCCGACCGCCCCCAGAAAGAATACGAGTACGATGTAACCGACTCGCTCGCTGGCACGGGAATTGATTTGAGAGCAGAGGAACAGTATCTGGCTGAGCTATTCGCCGTTGAACCCTCAATTTCCGACTCCAGGACAGGCTTCTCTATTCAGAACCCTGGGAACAAGGCGTCTTTCTATGGCGCTGGCTCTGCTAATCAGGCAGCCCAGCCCAATGGCGGCAAGTCCCAGGACCAAGTGATCGCTGAAGCCGCGGAAAAGGCTTGGCAGGCAAGCGCGAAAGCCCTTTCTGCGGAGCGGGTAGTGGAATTGAACAGTGCATTCCTCGTTGTCCCTAA